AGCATAATAGCTTTCAAAAATACTGAATATACACAAATTTTTAATGGAATTGCAGTCTCTTGGGTCCAAATACTCTCCTACTTTATTACAGATTGAGTTACATACAGTATCTAGAATGCAGGAAAGTGTTTTTATGTGTGTGTATGTGTTAATGGCAATCATTTGATGCTTCTGTACATATCAAAGAACAAGGATGTTAAGTCATGTGCCCAAGAGAGTTGTGGTAATACAGAACATAGGTTGTACTTGGTAGGGAAGTAGATCTCAGAAATCAGCAAGTGTTGTCAGAACAAAAGTTTGGTTTTGTTACTGCTCTTCTAGAGGAGCCTGGGGATCAGGAATTAGACTGCCTAAAGGTGGTGGTGGTGTTTTTCGATGCTGGATGTTTTCATCTCTGCTCAAGGAGTCTCTCAGATGATGCTCTTTTTTACTAGGAATGTACATACTCAAAACTATTGTTCTCTTCTCACTGTTGATATACAAGATTGATTCCTCCAAACAAATGATGACATAGGTATCTATTGAACACCTAAACAGCTCGTCAGATCAATGAGCTTTCTCTTACACTTGAGAATGTGCCACTTTACTGATAGTGTTTAACTTACCACTTTTTTCCCCAGATATTATTACGAGTACCAAAAATTGGATCTACTGTAAACACAGATGAGACCTCTGGGTTTCAGCAAGAGTCAACAGAAGAAATAACTGTCTTGCTACTGTGGCAGGGAGGTGAAACAGAACTACTAACCAGTAATTAATGGCTGTAATTTTTTGGCACATAAATTATTTGAAATTTAGTGTAATGCTTTGCAGTAAGCTTGTAAGTAGTTTACTCCAGTACTTAATATTAAATTGTTTTGTACAAGCAACTAGATCTTATTCTGGGCATTGTTCTGGAAGGATTCCATAAAGATGATTCTTAGTTCGTTTAGGTTTTAAAAAAGTGTGACTCAAGAACAGCAGACCAAATTGCATTAATGGAATTATTTCTGGTTCTCGCTCTGCTAAGATTTCTAGATTTTTCTAGTAGCATTAGCATCTAAAGATGTGACCTCTACTTGAGTTAAGAAGTGTTAACACTGTTTATAAAGGTAACTGCATCCTGGAAATGGGTATGTAAAGCATTCACGTACTCTCAGGGACTCAGAAGTCAGTAATACGCTGCCATTAAACTCCCTGAATGCTTAGGTCTGCAGAACTTTGGAGGTACAGGACTCTGTGGGTTCTGCTGTAACCTGATTTCTAAACATGAATATAGATCATCTTCACCCTACCATCACTGCAAGCTAACTTTTTCTGGTCAGCACTGTCACCATTCTTGGCACATCCACTGCCCAACCACTGTCATCTCGGAGTCCTTCCCATTTCATCTCAGTTATTTTGGGATATCACCTATCTCTGTGGTTGTTTCTTCTAGTGGCTTCAGACTTGTGCAGAGGAAGTAGGTGCCTTACATGAATACAAGGGTGGAAAAAAAACTTTTATAGCTGAACTGTCTCAAGACCTGGATATTGGCATTCTGGATCTTGAGGTTACTGCTCACACTATGTGGCACATGAGTTAGATTCCCAGTGCTTCCAGTTCAATCCACTTGTGGATTGTTAATCCATAAGTGTCGTTCTTTGGCAGTGTGCTGAATGCCTCAGAACACTGACAAGAGCACAGTTTTTCTCTACTTGAATTCACTGCAAGGTAAAGTAGTTTGGATCCTTAAAGCATTCTCACTACAACACTCATTACTCAGACTCTTCTGTAGACATAAAGGAAGTTTTTCAATGTTTTGAACCGATAGTGTGGCTTTCCAATCCTCTTGAAGTCTGAGTTTGTTTCTCAGTATTATCACCCAGAACATTCACGCCCTGGAAGGGAGTTCTGTATTTCGCAAAAGAGCATGTCAGGAAGACTTATGAAGCCCACAACTTCAATTAGTTTGACTACCTTTGAAAATACCTCAGAAAGTTCAGACCCTGAGCCTTTTCCCATTACTCTGGGGTAGAAGGAAGTGCAAATAAATGCTGCTAGATTAGTCTATGAACAAGTATTGTATAAACATACTATATGGCTCAAGGTTAAAAATTATGCCATTAAGTTGTTTTTCCTTTAAGCATTAGGAGAATGAGTTCTGCCAAAAACTCCTTGGAGTCCTCTCGGGTATGCTTCTAATTATCAATATCCTTGTTCTTGCAAATACTAAGCCACTGGTAATTATGCAAGAATCTAGAGCCCCTAGGAGACAGAGGTGAGCTCCTTGATGTAGCTTTAAGCAAAATTGAAAGTTATCTATGTAGTCAGTTGTGATTATCATGATTGTTCAAGTAAAGGATGGTCCAGAATGAGAGGTGTTTATCGTAAGGCTATTCTAGGAGTCCTAGGAAAAAAACACTTATTTTGCCCCAAACCATTTTGTAGTTTCTATACAAGAAACAGGCTAATACTGGCAAACTAACTGGAGAGTACAGGAGGAGAAAATACAGCGTATAACTGTGGAGTTGGCTGTAGCAGCCTGAATATTGCCGAGTTCTGCTTTTGTTTTTCTTGATGTGATGAGGCTATACAGGAGGACAGAAATACCACGAACCACAATCTCTCTTGTCCTTCAGTTACGAAAGCGCTGCTTCTTATTTTCATCTTTTGTCTGACTCTTAGAGAAAGTGTAATTAATTACGAGGCTAGCTCTCTGCCCCAGGGAAGGAAATTTTACTCATTTTGAGGCCGCAACAATATCTACTCTTGTTCTGCTTTTCTCAAAGGGAAGGCATTTTCCCCTGTTTTGGTTTTAAACTGAAGAATGACTGCATAAAATTTCATTCAAAGTGGAAACTGGCTCTTCCATATTAGTGGATAAAGGTTATGGGTCACAGCCAGTTAACGGGTAGTACAGAAGAGCTTATTTGTGCAGTGATTTGGGAGAGAAATCTGTTCAGTGTCAGTAGGGCTGCTCTGTCACATCCTAGACATGATGAAGTCTTAATGGCTTGAATGGAATCGCTTACAGTGAGTCAGTCCATGCAAGAACTGCGATAATACTTTATCGCTAGGAATTGTGCATAACAGATGCGTGTTTAGTAAATGTATACATGAATCTGTTAGAGGTTTTTCATTTACACTGTTTGGTTATTTGTGTTATCTGAAGTGTGGTTCTAGGAGACTTTGACTTAAAGTGCTCGGAGATGATGGAAGATGTTTGCTTCTTGCACCGGAGTGCTATAGGGGTAGGTGTACTAAGAGCTTACATGCAAGTAGTTCTGTTTTGATTTATAATCTCTAAACACAGAAAGCAGAGGTTTGGGGCCCAAGGCAATGCGTACTGAATGGACACACAAGTTGAAATTCATGTTCTTTGTGTAGGTATGAAGATTTGCCTACAGGGAGGTTTTTACAGGAAAATGGATGATTAATTTATCCCCTTTTCTCTTACTGTCCATCCTCTGCTCCCTTGATTTAAGGTATGTCAATCAAGCCTATCGGCATCACTTGCTGTTAATTTAGGAGTTTTGGAACAGGTTACTATTTGCTTTTAAAGGGACTCCATCAGGTTGAATTGCAATGCACTTGAGATTAGCTGAATCTTCATTGCCTTAAATTGTGAAACTATGGAAAGCCAAGTTGTATGTCCTGGACAAAATTCTATTATTTCATAGTGTTCCCTGCGGACTTTTTGTATTTGAGACTGTATTTATATGCCCATCTTGAAGCTAGGAGGCTTTCACATGGTGAAAGGATGTAAGGGTCTGTCATCTGTAAATCTGGCAGGCAGGCATATCTATCTTCCCTACAGAACAAGGGGAAAAAGATGCATTTAAACATCAATTCCTATTTTCTGTTAGAATTATCTTCAACTTATAGTAGATGAAGAACAAAGTTCCTACAGATGGTTGTGAGGAATCGTATAGATATGTTACACATGTACTAAATTACGCCTTTTAAAAGTAATCTGCTTAATTTAATCTTACATCATACACTGTTTTAGTTTAATTCCAGTTTCTAGGGAAAGCAGATGAGTCAGTTTTGTCAGTCCTTAATTAAACTTCCTAGTAGTGTTGTATCTGAACAGTGAGCCACTGAAAGAGACTGTTAACTGTAACCAGTGTTTCCATTTCATTTAAACATTTACTAATAAAGAGTTTTGCAAAAATCCACCGATCCTTTTGATTTTACGAAGCCTATCACACTTTTTGCTTATATACTTGTTCTGGATTCACCTGCTGGGTATTGTGTCCTAAATACTACTTTGTAGACGGATGTTTTATTTGTAGTGATGGCTTCCTCTGCTTGCAAATGCGGGCGGTCCACCTTCCCTGTAGGTTTTGAATCGAGTGCATCTGAGCTGTGCTATTTCTGTTACTGCTCTGGGAGAATCACTTCAGGTACAGGGAAGGAAGGGGCAGGAGCTGGATTTTTCTAGGTTTAGGGGTAGAAGAAGTCATCGCCCGTCTCTGCTGTACCCCTGCACGCAGAGCCCCTAAAGCGCTGGGGGTACAGCAACAAGAAAGACTCGACGCGTGGCTCGTGACCCTCTTTTTGCCTTTCTGCTGCTTTTCTCTGAGCTTCTCTCGGAAGAAGGCAATAAACCCGCGGCGTGGTGTCACCCCCCCACACCTCTCCCTGTCCAGCCTCTGGGGGAAACACCTCGGCCCCGCTTCGCGCCGTCCCGGCTTCCCGACAGAGACCCGCGGCGGTGCGGGCAGGCTGCGCCCGCAGGAGCTGCCCAGGCGACCGGGGCTGGCGGGACCCCCCGACCCCGTCCCGTCCCGTCCCGTCCCGTCCGGCCTCGATCGCCGCAGCGGGGCCCCTCTCTCCCCATCGGCCCCCACCGGGGGAGGGCGGGGCTTCAGGCTGTCGCTCCATCCGCGGGATCGCCGGCGCAGCCAGTCAGCGCCCAGAAACCCGCGCAGCGCCCCGCCCCGCCGGCCCGCCCTCCCTCCCCTTTCTGGCAGAGCCGAGTGACTAATTTCTGTCATATGACTGTGACACCGAATGGAGTCGGGCGGGCGGAACTAGCCGCGGCGAGGGGACGGCGCTGCGCGGAGCCCAGCGCCTCGGCGGCGGGGGCTCAGCGGCGGCGCCCCAAGATGCCGCCTACCCTGTTCCAGAAGCTCTTCAACAAGAAGCACGGACTGATCTCTCCGGCCAGGGACGCCCGGGACGATTGCGTCTTCAGGTAAGTGGGACGGGGGGGCCGGCCCTCCTTCCCCCCCGACCCAAACTTCTTGCGCCCAGTTTCCTGCCGACCTCCGCCGCCCACCCTGCTCCGGAGAAGGGCGGGCGAGCGGGAGGTAGCCCCCCTTCCCCCTTCGGCAGCCGCCCGTGCTGCAGCGGGGCCGCTCGCCGCGGTTTCCCCGCTCTCCTCAGCCCCGCGCCTACCGCTGGCCCCCGGGGTCCGTCCCCCCCTCGCCCCGCCGCGGGAGCCCCGTGTTGTTCCCGCTGCGGGCCCCCTCAGGCGGGCGTTGGGCGGGAGCCTTCCCCCCCCTCACACACACACACACACACCTCGCCGGGGCCGCCACGTCGGGACGGCCGCGCTGCCTCCTCAGCGGCTGCCTCCCCTCCCGGGGGCCGCCTCTCCTCAGGGCTGGGCCGAGCCTCCCCCTCCCCTCAGGGCGGCCCCCTCACAGCGCGGTCGTGTCTTCTCCCCCCACCCCGGGCAGCCCGCTGCGGAGCGGGGATCAGCCCCCCCAGCTCGGCCCCCATCGTC